TCTTTATTTTTATACTTAAGTTTACACTACAAAAAGGATGAAAATGAGACAATAATTACATTTGAGCATAATAATGGTCATAATTATCCCCCATAGCCATGTGAGAAATCATAGCTACCTCCTTCATACCTTCCATGACAATTATAGTCACCTGCTTAACCAGGAAATAAAAGTAAATATGAGAAATGGCTAATTATTTAACTGTATGCACTCTTACCTACCTGCCTATAATCCATCCATCACATATTATATGCAGTAAATACATCATTCTTGGTGTGTAAACTGATCAAGTATTTAATTGGTTGACCTTGTTAAAACACAATAGGAATTGTTTCTATATAGCAGTGATCAAACTTAAATTAATTACAAACAACAATAGGGACGGAAGGAGCAGAGGACATACAGTATGATATGATAGCGTTTTTGACATATTCAAATTTCAAAGTTAAAAAGACTCTGACAGAAATTTAAAGTGTAATTGGAAACATTTAAACAATATTTTGAAAATTAAATGTTTTGTTTATATTACCTGCTTTTATTACAGTATGACCGTGGTTTCTTGTTTCATATATACTGAAAAATATTTCATATATACTGAAAATATAAAAGTACTATAAAGTTTGTGCGTGTGCATTTCGTCGTCGTGCACTATGAAAATGACTAAAATCAAAAGGTCGGGTTGTTTTAAGCTTTTACAACTAAACTTACCTCAAAACAAGACACTTACCAAGTTATTTTCTTCAATATTTTCCCCTCAATCTTCAGAAAAAAACACAAAGTTTAAACGACATTTATTTTGCTGTAAAAGCCCGTTTGATTTCTTGCCGCTCTCGTGATATTCGCCGCATTCGTCCGTTTTGCATCCCAGCGCTTTCGCAACAACCAATAAAAACAAGTTTTCGTGTTGTTCAAATCATTATTTTACCGTCTATTTTTAACAATGCTGTTCACGGTTGTTCGAACAACTAAAAACAACTTGTTTTTTCATCAATGTTGTTCACGCCTGTTCGAACAATATTGTTGACGCCTGATGAATGAACAACGCTGAACAACATTGTTCTGACAACATTTATCAAGCATGTTTCATCAACCTTGTCGGACGCTTGTTCCATCATGTTGCAACAACCATTGTTCGTCCATCAAGCGTGAACAAGTTGTTGGAACCTCGGTTGGAACAATGTTGTTAACGATTGTTGCTTGAACAATGTTGTTCAGCCATGATAACAACATTGTTCAGGCATTGTTCAATGAACCGAACGCCGAACAATGGTTGTTGCATTATTTGTATTTTAATTAACGTATATTTTTCGAAATATAGCTGCATATATGCTGAGCATTTGAAACTAAACATTTCGCAATGATTTTTCTTTACTTTTATACACGTCAATGAAATACTTGTATTTTTCGTAATTAGGTCGATAAAAAAGTAAATTTCAGTTCAGCTTATTTCCCAATCATTAGTATCGATAGAGAGGGCTTTTATTTTTACTTAATTTTGCTCAATTAAGGAAGCAGATGGCAACAGACTGCTCGATTGCTACAAGTTAGTACTTTTACTTGTATATAGGTTTAAACATACAAATTATGCATATGAAATCTTTCACTGTTACTTGCACGGATCAATGGATTGCTTTCTGAGGCTGAGTCATTATCATTGATTGCAAATAGATTTGTAAATTCCAAAGGTACTCCTGGAGGTAATATTCCATTAGACCTACACATGGAACATATGAATATGATGGTTAAGAGATCAGCAAAAGCAATGGGAGCAAATGTAACAGAGAAGTCATTACAACGGGCTGCAAGTCAATTCTGGCACTGAATAAGGTTAGAGAATGCATAGCTGATGATTGTTTTAAGAAGACACGAAGCTAGTGGTTTGCACAGCCAGAAAATCCAGAGGAAGCTGTCAAAGTCATTGCTCATGACCTGCTGATGGGAGAAGTATTTCAGAAGAAAGAGAAAAGACAAGGTTACCACTCATTTTCCAAATTCAAATCCAACTTACTTGATGTGGACTATAGAGACTACTTTAAATGGATCAGAGAGAAACTTATACATTGGAACCAAGTATATGACTCTAGAAGACTCCACAATAAATTAAACTAATGTTGAGAGAATGTACACTTAAAAGCGTAGCATAGTGACAGAATTTATAATTGCATGTATGTAAATAAAATCCTTAATATATGTCAAGTTTTCACAATATAGTATGGTATTATAAACAAGCATGATCATATTTTGTATTTACGTAAGTTTAATACATAGGCCACATGAGATATTTCGAAAGTGGACAGACACTGACCAAAAGGGGGGCTTTTGTACTATATGATCAGAATCAATGCAAACAATGTTTCTGTCGGCCCATGATGAAGAACCATCACGGTTAGTGCTCGGAGTGAAAATTTTTGAAACATGTAGTTAATATATATAAGTACAACTTCGAAAATGGCATTTACAGATTCTTTACTTCTACACAGGAGCAATCTGTTTTCTGGCAAAAGAGTGTGTTCATTGAAATTTTTTTTGTGTGTTCATTGAAATTGATTTTTTTGACAGTGTAATTTTTTCACTTTTGCACAAAGGCACGAGAACAAAGGCCCTATTTGCACCCCTCTCTGTGCTTCTGCATCCTTTGCTTTAACGTCAATTATACTATAATGTCTCAGAAAACGTTTGTTGACGTTTCTTGTTAACACATGCAACTATAAGTAGCAATCCAATCTTTTGGGGCCTACTTAATCCTTTTAATCTGTCTAAAGCCAGATGATTTTACACGTAAAGTTTAGTAGCTGCTACATTAATACATAACACTATAACAGACAATACAAGATGGCCATTTTTATGGACAACCATGACTCTATGAGTGCTGTTACATTTTGTATTAAAGTTACATAAGGTATGTTGGAAGTTTATCAGTTTCATCACTTTCTGTCTGTTCAATAACTATATTATCATCTAAAGGAATGCAAGTAACCAAATGCTGTTTTCTTTTCGGTCGCCCATTGTCGTACGAAGGCTTGCGATCTCTCCCTGCACGACCTGCCTCTTGAAGGTGGCTGGTAAGATTTTTAGAAGGACTAAAATGGACTACATACCTCACACGGGGGAAATCCACACCCATACTTAACGAAGTAGAAGCTATAACAACTCTAATGTTGCCTTTAATACATTCAAATGATGATGTTGTTTTGTCGTCCTTGGCGTTCTTGGGGGTTTGAGAATAATATACTCCAAGCAGAGATCTTTCTTGGGGAGGTTTACTGCCATCAACATATATACTGATTGTCCAAGTTGGCTGAGAAAGAGGTTAAGAATCAATACAATATGTCGTTGACTGTCTTACAAAAAATTATGGTATTTGGAGATTCTTCCTTTTTTTCCCTTGAATCATTGAAACAATCCATTCATAGCAAGACATTTGCGTATCTGCTTTAAACACGGAGAATCGAATGTTATCCCTATTTGGAAAAAACCCAGTTTCATATTATTCTGACACTGCAATCCAGCAATGAAAAATTCGTTGGCTCGAGCGTGATTTGAACTCCCATCTTCGGGTATCTAGACCGCCGCTCTACCCATTCTATCGAGTCAACGGGGATTGGTAGCGAGTCTTATCCAATTTAAGTGCGCGAAATATTTTCGTGAGACTTACGCTTGTCTTAGAGGACGCGCAGAAGGCAAATGCATGTGGCGTTCGAGTTCAAAACAAGACAAGGAGTGTGAATAAAGCAACACAAAAGACTATATCATGTCACGAAGTTTTTATTGACATGCATTTTTTATAAAATATGTCATAACGGTTATTGTGAGGGACGAAGTTGTTAATAAGGCCTGGATGGACGTTTGAAATTAAACTCTTAAAAACGTTAATAGACGATAGATGTTATTTCTGAATTACATATATATAATTCATTTCTGGTTTCATTCGCCTTGACTTGATACAACTACTGAATCGGTTGGATGATTTGATATTTTTATCTCTTGTCATGTGATTTCGATTATAATACAATGCTGCTAGAAACCTTATGAAACCATCAAATGTTCAACGTTTATCAAATACTCCTTCGTTTATCAAATATCCTATAATATATTTATCAAATATCAACGTTTATCAAATATCCTTGCATTACTGTAGCTGTTGGTATATTCCCAAACTTGATATATCTGAATGTAACAGGGTGATTTATCTCGAAATATCTCATTGTTTGGTCACAGGTGCAAGGCCGCCGGAAGTAAATCAATATTGGGGGTTCAAGAATAAATCGGAACAAATCTGAATTGCTTGCGCACTTTTCTAGTTCTTTTGTGTGTTTTGCTAATACAAATGAAAATTATTGGGGGGGGGGTGGGGGGCTCTCAAGCCCTCCAGCATATGTGCAGTAGGTCCGAAATAGGCCAGTGAGCATTAGAATAGTTAAATCACTAAGATATTAAAAAAAAAAGGATGACCATCGTTTTACTACTTGGGATTCAAATCTGAAAACAGTGACTATAATGTGTCCGTAATTTGAGATGATGAATAAACATAATTTTTAATGAGGATACCAACTTCAGAAGTAGTGGTTTACAGAAGGGTCCTCGGAATGATATACATCTGCTTACTCAATATGTGGGTTTGAAGCATATCACAACATTTTATCATTATTCAACGTTTGAATGAAGACACGTTTTGCAAGAAGTTCAGTATTTTGTTACTGCATGTAAATGCATTGAATAGAATCGCGTGGTAACTTTCAATCGGCCTTGTGGAGCCAGGTAGTTTGGTCTGTTTATTTTTTATTTAAGACAATTAAGCAGCGAAATATTTCTCTTCGCGACGTCGTGCATGTTACTCACATAAAAATAAGTGCCGGAGTCCATGCCCAACAATTCGTATAGCGGATTTATTTTTCACTCAATGCCGGGATATAAATATGCTCTGTTTAATTATATCAGCTGCATGCGTATGCATATCTATTGTAACTGTCGGAAATATAAACTGAGAGACGATGTAATTAATTAGCAACTAAATTTAAATTATATGCACCGGCTTTGTAATGTTCTGAACATTGAGACGTTTAGCTAGCTCACAGGCGGGCAGATGATATTGAAAGTCGCACATGCATTAATAATGTCGCTCTTGCTGTAAATATAAGTTAATTTAATAAGTTTCACAAAACCAGTAATTATATGTGACAAAAACCTTAGTTATTTACAACTTTAACAGATAAAACGACAGTTGGTCTATATATTCACCTTATCTCAAATTCTATTCACTTGTCCGGGATATCAGTTTGGAATGGTAACTGTAGCAACCGGGCGTGTGTGTGTGTGTGTGTGTGTTTGTGTGTGTGTATGTGTATGTGTGTGTGTATGTGTGTGTGTGTGTGTGTGTGTGTGTGTGTGTGTGTGTGTTTGTGGAGGGCGGGGGTATACGCAGGAAATATGAATAATACTGGTATAATCCGGTTATATTTTTATCTAGTATTGTATTTAACATGTTTAATTCTGTAAACTAAAAACTTAATTTAGTGAGGGGCCTGGGGACGACAGTACTTTAACCTTCTAGTGTATATTGACTAACCGCAATATTAAAAACTCCCTCTTTAATTTAAACAAAGATTAATTGTGTTGGTATTTTTCCACAAGCGACAACCACACTCAAATTTTAGTGCTAGTATTCTGGGTTTTAAGGATTCCATGTTTTTAAGGATTCCACGTTTTTAAGTATTTACGGATTTAGAAATTCTGATTTTTAGTGTGATTTTAGTATTCCGTGTTTTCGAGATTTTGGCTTTTTGTAATACAGATTTTAGAGATTATGGCTTTAGTATTCCGTGTTTTAGAAATTTCGGGTTCAGTTCCATTTCCCGTTTCTCGAATGTTGTCCGTTGTTAACTTGACAATTCGTTGTTTTGGAAAGATCGAGTCTGGTTACATGTAGATGCGTCCTTATAGTTGACAAAGACTTGTTGTTGTTAACTTAAGATGGTTCCTACAATTTTAGGTCTGTGTCGCGGAAATTTTTTCCACGCGCGAGATTAGTAGTGATCCACGCAATACGCGTGGTCGACGTTGCACGCGTGGTGGGTTTTTTAAATTGCGTCGTGATATACACGCGCGGGCCTTCGTGGGATTGTCCGCTGGTCGCGCGAGGAAATTGAAATCCTGATTTTTATGATGTCACATAGATAAAAATAAATGTATTTTTCTCGTGTTTCCTTCAGTATTATTTTTTTAAACTTCTCACACTTTCCTGTAATGTTGAAGTGCGTAAAATGTGCAAGTTTTAAGAAAATCGTACCAAAACCAGGGCTTTTTCACGATTAAAAAATTAATATACTCGTACGATTTTTTTTATATGCTATCATTTGAAGGAATTATAGATAAGATTACTATGTGCAGAAAAAGTTTTACCGAAGAAATTTTCAAAAAATTATCAAAGGATCTGCAAATTGGCCCTTTTTAAAATCGCTTTATTACCATGGCAATGGGGATTTTTAACGACATTTTTTATTTTTCGTAATTCGCGATATTGTAGCAGTTATTTTGCCGAGTTTTGCGATCATACTTTGCAAGATGATAAAATAATGGTTTTTTGAATACAATTATATAAATGTAATGTCATATATACTTCATGTAATATAACCTTTTTAATTAAGTAAACTTGAAAGTCTGAATATCGATTTATAATCATAGATATATATATATATATATATAAATGTTGTAAATAGACAATAGATATACTCCCTAATTTTTTGTAAATTTTATGAGGGCCACAAGTTCATTAGTACTTCGTACTATTAAGTGTCACCCTCTTTAAATAAAGTCTCTATCTATCTATCTATTATGTGCTGTACAATCAAAACTGTAGGGAGCCACCTTAAGATCAATCCAAGAAATGACGTAGCCTACATGTAGGTTTCATTTTACAAACTGTCGTGCAGTCAGTGAGTCAGTCACGCACGAGATAAAACCTATAACTTGTCGTGGCGATAGAAGTGTTTATTTTGATACGTTAACTTCAATATTGAAGCCGGACAATATTCAGGTGAAATTTGTACAGTTTATAAGGAAACAAAGCTGTGTGTTCGAAGGAACTAAGGTAAGCGATATTGCATGTCCTTCCTGTTGTTGAGCATTTCCATACGAACATGTTGTATTCAATAGATTATTGCGTTAATTTCACAACACTATAAGCTGAAGTGAACTGCTTATATTTAGGAATTAAAGTTCTATCCTGTGTTCATTAATTGAATATGATTTAATATATTTTTAGCGTTGGTGATTAAGACAAGTGTTTAATAAAAATACCCATCGTAAATTATATGCGGTCAACATGCAATAAGATACCTTCAAACATATTCTCATTATTTCTGTAGTCCTTGCTTTAGTTGTACTGAAAGAATGTAGATATTTATTGAGTTGGCTACGATTCCTTCAGAATAAATGCACAAGAAATTAGAGAAATTTTCCTTTAAACGATCATCAAATATCTCTGAACTTTGATTTTTGCATTTCCGTAATGTGGTGTTTATATTGCTTACATAATATTTAAATTCTCTCTGAGTTGTCCTGTAACGTCGACAAGAATGATGGGGATTTGTTGATAACGAATTCGTGCACAAAATGAATCATCATTGCCATTGGCGGTAGAGTTATATGCTTTTTAGTTGATGTTTATACTATTTGTTTCATCGGAATTCCGAACATGAATATGACGGTTTCGACAGTTCGTGGTTTGATATTTTATCTCCCTCTCTTGTATAAAATGAAGTGCGGAGTTGATGTGGTGTTATGAACAGACAAACTTTTGAATTTTTGCCAACACATAGAAACAATTACGTACGACCAACGTTTTGTGGTGAACTATTAAATTACGATACATGGCATGCGCCAACATGGCTGCCAGCTTAGCTCCAAAGCTCTTCATTGTTTTAATATTTTTAAACTTATTAAGAGCACATTTTTTACAAAATCGCGTATTTTTTGCGCAAAGCGCTCAAAACTTAGCGACCAGGCCTTCCCTAAAATCCTGCCCCGCCATCTTGGTTTTAAAAATTTCCCAAAATATGCGAAGACAAATAACAGAATTTTACTGGATTTTTGGCTGTGTCACGAGGCAAAACATTGCCAAATATAAAGAAAGATAACATGGTAAGTGTAATATCGTATTTAGTAGCTGTTATTTAAATTATTATTATGTAAATATGCACATGTATCGGACTCAGGAGTGACCATTTCATTCAAAGAGGTCATCTATATTTACTGATTGAAAGTGTCTGCTTTCGTCTTTTAAATGATGGCCGGCCTGTTCACAACTCGTTTACAATATAGGTACATGCAAAATTTTAAAGGAAAAATTTGAGTATTTGTAAATAATCCATTTTAATACTTCGAAGTTCGAATCAGTTTTTTGCCTCTGGTACTGTTGCACATTTCCATAATATTACTGTAAAAACATTAATTTTAAACTTCACAATGTTTCGTACACATGCAGCTGTTCTGCTGTTGCAGTGCTTCAGGTATACCATGCTATAAATCACTACACGTTTCCTTTCTGATATAAAGAATCATGATGTACATCTGGTATATGATTGTATACAGTATACTAAAGTATAAATTGGAAACCAAAATTTCATATGGGATGTAGGTAACAATTGCAACTGGAATTATTAGTTGAAACAACCTACTTTCCCACATGCATGTAACCCGATGTGGTACGAGGGTTGCTAAACCAGGGCTGGTCATAAAGCAGGGCCAGGATGCATCATCACTATGGACCCCAGATACTGAACCCCCTCCCCCAATATCCCCAAGTAAATCTATCCCACTACTACACAAAAGAATACTTCTTTCCCTCTGAGTTAACAATGAAAGTATATTTTTTACAGATCTCTGCGATATTACTTTTACAACCTTGAAGATATGATTACGATGACAGATGTCTGTACATTGTGGAGTATTTTGTACATCCTATGAACTTTTTGTAACAATAGATAAATTTTTATCATAATTTATCTGTGATTTAATAAATATTCATTTCATCTTGTTTCATTTCTTGTTTTCTTTAATAGCCTGCAAGAAAAGATCTTCTTAGAAAATCTGATATTTTTTGAAAATTTACAATGTATATACATGATCTAATTGCCGTAATTGGTACCTGGCCAGGCCCCACCCCAAATGTACGTAACCATTTTGGGTTAAAAATCATCACAACAAATTTGTGTGACATTTAATTAACCAGGTTTAACAGAATAACAGAATAAAGAAGCATCACTGACTTAAAATCTCTATTATACATCATATTTACATTAGATATTGTTGTGAATACTGTAATTCTGGTTGATTTAAAAAATGTTGAAAAACGACTGTCGACCTACCACCTCAAACTTAATCAAACTATGATTTTTGTAAACTAGCATACCTAGGGTAAATCCCGAAATATATCTTAGATTGATCGGAAACAGTTCTCAGTTAATTTTTAACCATTAAACGTAAGGTAAATGTTTAGACCCATGAACTCCATATTGGCCAAATTTAGCCTACATGAAAACCAATGTATTTGAGAGACAGAACATGTTCAAACAATCTATAATCACCATAGAAATATAAAATGGACTGAGAGCTATGTTTACACAGCTTACAGTACAAGATTTCACTTTATATTCAATGAACAGATAGCAATACTGGGCTATTCAGTAAATACATGTTGTTGAATTCTTTAATTCTGGTTGATTTCAAAAATGTTGAAAAACGACCTTCGACCTACCACCTCAAACTTAATCAAATTATGATTTTTGTAAACTAGCATACCTAGGGCAAATGTCGGAATATATCTTAAATTGATCGGAAACAGTTCTCAGTTAATTTTAACCATTAAACTTAAGGCAAAGGTTCAGACCACTGAGCTATACTATATTACTGGAGGACCTGCTCGGCATCAACAAGTGAAGCCAAAAACATGGCGGATCTGACGCCATTGCCATGACTACTGGTCCCTAGATTCATGGCAACTACCACTGTCCCAACCGCGATCCTAAGCTTTCGACGATGTACTTCACCCCCCTGGTTTCAGCACAGATATTTTATGATTTCGCTTGTTTTTGAGGTAAAAATCGCACTGAAAATCTTGATATTTTTCTCCTATAACTTGGTTGATTTACAACGTCGAGGATCCTGCCTTTTTGCGCCGCTCGTAGATGTATGAGATGTACAAGAAGAATATTTTTATTCACCGGTAAGAATTTTATATATTCTAGAAAATTTGAAGCAGTCAAGCAGAAGTACAGACAGTACAAACTACAAAGTTTATACTACGAACATAAAAGTATATGAACAGCAAATTAATAGCAGACATAACAACCTGTAAATGGTTGGCAATTCTGTAAATTTCATTGTTCTTTTGATTTGGCACTAGCCTCGGCCCTCTGTATTTGCGTAGGGTTTTATAGCTGGTTATGATTTCAAAGTCCTTGCTGTATACTGTCTGCACACTTGTATTTATTTAGTATTTTAGTATATTAAATTTTCCTTGACAAACTTTGAGTGATATTCTTGCCAGCAGTTGTTTATAATTGCTGTGTAGTTATATTAAATCTCACTTACACGACATGCAGACAAGTGAACAAATGCTTTGCTAGCTAGGCCAAAGACACCAGGTTCAAACCATTCAATAGTATACCCATTGCAATCAAGCAATTACCATAAACATATAAGCCCCCCCCCCCAATATAAGCCCCCCTGTGTATAATCCCACCATATTTGCTAACGCTCAGGCTATTCCGAATATAAGCCCCTCCCCCCTCTGATGTAAGCCCCTGTGTGTACATGCCCATGGGCTTATATTATTTGACAGGGTCTTATATATTTGACATGGGCTTATATATTTTGTATCAAGCCTGTTATATATTTTGTATCAATCGTGAATCGGTCAACTTAAATATTCTGCACTGAATATGTAGAACTACTTTGTAAACATTATCGTTCTATTAAATTAAGGTTCAAAACTTTTAGTTTGGTTGTTGAATGAATCCATAGACTTGCTTTCTATTTTGAGCTTAACCAACGTTTAAGCTAAACAGGCTTTGAGAGCAGTTTCAGGTTTCAGTGGTGGTGTCCCCAGTATTGGAGTAGAGCTCAACATTTCAGTTAGACGTATTATTTGTGATTGTTGTGAACCTTCTCACTTAGATCTGCAAGATCATTTGTGATATATTGTAATTAAATATAAAATGAAACTTTGGGGAGTTAAGAAATACAATTAATTGACAAGACTGTCCCCTTGACAAGTAAAATTACCAGGCATTAGACTGTCTGAGAGTAAAATAAGAAGCTTGGGTGCAATTAACTGCTGTATACTTTAAAGTTGGTTGCAAGCCAGGGCTTATAAATGCCAGAACTCATTTATTTGACCCGTAATGAACCCATTTTTAATCCTTTAAGTGGCAATGCGCCCTACTACAATATTTTACTCTGTCTAATGCCAGACGATTTTACTCATCAAGTGGAGAGTGCTGCCACCCAATGGGTTCAATTGCATTGCACCCTACTTTATATGTTAGTGTTACTTTGTCTAACACCAACAATTTTACTTGCCAACAAGAGAGCACTGGTGCTCAATGGGTTAAATTTCCCTGTAATTGGAGCCTGGTGTATGTGACTCACTATTTCTTCAAAGTGTGTTCTAATGATACTAGCTGTCACTATTTTATAAATATAATTGACTGTCCCTTCTCATTTAGGGTGATCCGGTGATGTAAGTCATGTGGACAAGTATTATATTCTTTTATTTCTCTAAACGTATACTTGTAACTACAAAGTCTGCCATGCATAATCTATTCACCAAGTCCACATGCAAGTTTTTCCCGCCATCTCAAAGTCACGTGTCCACCGCTGGACACTATATCTCTCCCTTTGTATTAATTAAAGGAACAAAACACAATTTTAAATGTCATAACTAATGTCAAACCCAGTTCGCTTGTATATAATATGAAGTCCAATTGTTTATGTTATAAAGTCCTGCATTCTAGCTGGAGGTCTACGCATCCTTGCAGGTCGTGTGTTTACAGTGACTGCAGGCTCGGCTGTTATTGGTTGCCCTTCAATCTCGTCCTCTTCGTCGGAGCTTTCCGTAAACTGTTCGACACCGGCATTTTCAATTTTCCTAGTCAATGAGACATTACGCATGATAGCTGGCTCGTTTCCTCGCTGCAGAAGAACACTACTTCCATGCCGTTTAACCACGCGATAACCATTCGGATCAAAGGATGTTGACAACTTATTGCTCTTAGGCTGTTTGAGTAGCACCATATCCCCTTCTGAGACCGTTGAAGGAGTGGATCGATTCTTGTTATCACTGTACTGCTGCATTTTCTCTTTGTTTCTCTTGTCACGAGCAAGGGCACTACCCAGGGTTTCTGATTTCTCTGGTTTACTTATCTCAGGCACCTTTGTCCGAATCTCGCGTCCAAACATGATTTTGGCAGGAGAAACTCCAGTTATTGCATGAGGGGTAGCTCTATAATTCAAAAGAAAGGTATCCAACGCCTTTCTCCAATCTCTCCCTTCGACATGTGCAGTGCGGATAGCCTTCTCCACTGTACGATTGAATCTTTCAACGGTGGCATTAGCCTGGGGCCAATATGGGGTGACTTTGCGGTGGTATATACCATGGGAAGAGAAGAAGTCCTCGATCTCTCTAGAGACTAAATTGGAACCGTTATCAGAGGTGACTTGCTCAGGGAGCCCATGTGTTGCAAGAATCTTCTGTAGACGGCGAATGATAACTTCTGATGATGTGGCTCGAATAATCTCCACTTCTGGCCACCGTGAGCAGGCATCAACACACACTAGCAGGCTTTCTCCCGAAGGGAAGGGGCCACAGAGGTCAATATGAATGGACTGCCATGGTTTGGAAGGCATGGTCGAAGGACGAAGCGGTTCGGGTACAGTTGGCGGCATGGTGGACTGACAGGGTAGGCATGTCTTGACGAGGGTCTCTGCTTCAGCATCGATTCCTGGCCACCACACCTTCTGACGGAGGAGTTGTTTAATGTGCACAATGCCTTGGTGGCCTTCGTGAGCCAAGGAAAGGGTTTGGTGGCGCAGGCATTTAGGCATGACAATACGAGTTCCTCGAAGCAGCAAGCCTTGGCTTGCTGACAGCTCATCTCGCACTTTGGCAAACCGCTGAAGGTCAGGGTTGTCTGGCCAATGGTTGTGCAATAAGCATTGCTGAACCCGTTGCAAGATAACATCATCTTGAGTCGCTTTGGATATTTGTTCCAGTGTCATGGCTTTAGGAACCGCTTTCTCTGTAATAAAATTGATGTATTCTTCAGCTACATTCCGTTCACGGGTGGGCTGGCCTCTAATTGGCAATCGGGACAGCACATCTGCAGGGTTTGTCTTCCCTGGCATGTGGACCACTTTAAAACGATATGGCTGAAGACGAAGGACCCACCGCTCTATACGTGGAGGTGGTTTTCCCTTCGGGCTATAGATAAACTCGAGTGGCTTGTGGTCAGTGAAAAGTTTAAACGTAGTGCCATAAAGATACAGGTGGAACGTTTCACACCCCCACACAACTGCGAGCGCCTCTCTTTCTGTCTGTGAGTAGCGCCTCTCGACATCGGTGAGAGTTCTCGATGCATATGCAACAGGGCGTGTCTCGTGGCCATCGGACTGCATTAGGATGGCGCCTAACCCAACTGGACTGGCATCCACCCTAAGCTCAGTTTCTGCTTCAGGGTTATAATGGGCCATTACGCAGTCGCTGGTCAAACTGTATTTTAGCTCATTGAATGCAAGCTGCTGTGGTTTTCCCCAAGCCCATTTGGCCCCCATTCGAGTTAACTGCCTAAGTGGCTCGGAAATGGTGGCCAAGTTTGGAATGAAGCGAGCACAATAATTGACCAAACCAAGAAAACTTCGCACCTCCCCGGCATTGGTTGGAGCGGGGGCATTTTGGATGGCCTCTACTTTCTTGTCATCTGGAGACAGGCCGGCAGCGGAGATTTTAAAGCCAAAGAAAACTAGCTCAGGAACACTAAAGAGACACTTGTCTTTGTTGAGAGTG